GTGGAACAAAAGGTAATGATTATAAATTGAAAGATGTAGCTTCAGACTAGATCTAAGGAAGAAATGTTTTACACTGAGAGTGGCGAGACCTTGGCCCAGGTTGCCCAGAGAGGTGGGAGATCCCCCAACCCTGGAAATATTCAAGCCCAGGTTGGATGGGGCTCTGAGCAACCTGGTCTCCTGTAAGATGTCCCTGCCCACGGCAGGGGGTTGGACCAGATGCCCTTTAAAGTTCCCTTCTAACACAAACTACTTTACGAGTCTGCGATCCTTACCCCAGGACTGCCCCACAGCCCACCCACACCCCCACACTCCCCACCACCTTCACCGCCCCAGACACCTGCCCCAGCAGCCCCACAGCCACTGTCCCCCCGACTGCAGCCCCATTGCTGTGCCCACGTCCACCCCGCCCCATCTCTGCCCCCCACAACTACCTCCCTTAACAGTTCCCAGCTCCCAACAACTCTCCCCCTCACCCCTGTGAGGGGTGCCCCCTGGGACCGCCCCAGTGACTCCCAGCTCTGCCCAGTGGGTTGGGAATCCCACACTGGCAGTGCTCCTGGGGGGCAGCCCCGTCAGGGGTGAGCCCCGCGGCATGGCGGGGCAGGCCATGGGAGCACCCTGGCATCAACTGCAGGGTCCCAGTGGGGCAGGTGGGGGGTTGCGCTGTGGGGATGGGCAGTAAGGGTGGCCAGCCCCCATGGGACAAGCTGTGCAGCCCCGATGTGGTGAGACCCGGTCCCATTCGGAGTGCGCTGTGGGGTGCCCTATGGGGTGGGCCCCATGGCAGCAGGCGGTGCCTCACGGCATGAAGCAGCGTGGGCGCAGAATCCAGTTCACGTGTGCCCCACAGCCAGCCCTGCCACAGTGGTGCCTGGTGCCTTCCTCCTGCCTGTCCTCCTCCTCCTCTGCCTTGCCACTGCCCGTGGCTCCCCAGGTAAGGGGGGACACACATGGGCCCCAGGGGGGCGGGAGGCCGCAGTGCCCCATGGCAGCAGATGTCGCGGAGGGCAAGACGTGGGGCTGTAAGGGCCACCAAGGCATTAGGGCATGTGCCAGAGACCCCGTGAGCCAGGGACCCCTGTTGGATGCCCTTGCTCCCATCCCACCGCTGAAGCATCACTGGCCCCACCAGCCCCATGGTTCCTGACCCCATGGCTCTACTGGCCCCACAGCTCCCGGGGGAGCCAGGCCTGCAGGCAGCGTGCTGGGAGGGACCCTCGCTATGGGGGGTGAAGGAGCCAGGCCGGGTTGGGGGGCAGCAGCAGGACGTGATGCACAGATCCTACCGCCCTGCGTCAGCCAGCACGTTGGCACCAGGTACCATTTCCACCCCGGTGACACCCACAGTGCCACGCACAGACAGGGGACAGAAGCTTCTCTTTCTCCCCGGCACCCTTGCCCCGGCCCTAGTCCCACTTCTCAGCTGGCTGCCAGTACACCACCAGCTTTCCAGGGAAACACTGCCCCTCTGTGTCCTCCAACTTCCTGGGCTGCTGGGAAGGTGCCCTCCATCTCCATGTGCGGAAGCAGCCAGAGCACAGTGCCTATTGGTTCTTTTGCATTACACTGGGGAGAGGAGTTCTGGGGTGTGTGGGGTCTCAGGGAGCCCCAGTGACCTGCTGCAGCACAGGTAGGACAGATCCCCCATGGTGGAGTGTAAGCACTACCTGCAGGACCAGGACATCAGCATCGGCTGCCACTTCAACCAGAGCAAGTCCCACACGCGACCTCCGTGTGGGAGTCCACCTCCACCAGTGAGAGAAGCCAAGGGCTGCCATGAGCTGCCACCACACGTTTTGGGTGGCACCTCTGGATGTTTGGATGAAACACCAGCTGAATCTTCCTCCATCCATCCCTGTGGCACAGGGGCAGCCGGGCAGCCCCCGTCTCACCTCTGGGTGGGGGATGCTGAGGTTGGACACAGCTGGTTTCTGATGGACACACTTGACCCCTTGCTGTAGGTTGGTTTGGGAAGACTAAGGAGCAACAGGCCCCTTGTTCCTGTGGTCAACTGCAAGCTGGAGAGCCTGGCTCCTGTGCAAGGGAGTGAAGGTGCCTCAGGAGGGTGGTTTCGAAGCCCAAAATGCAAGATCACCAAAGTATGGAACAGGATGGCAGTTCCAGCCTTTCTGTGTCCGCCTCAATGCCAGCCTTGGTGGCAGGACCCTGGAGGTCCGCAGCAAGTGCATGGAGCTGCAGAACCTGGGTACAGAGTGATGGGGGGCTCCTGCTCTCCTCTGTAGGGTAGGAGTGGGGCTGTTGGTCCCCCAGGCTTCCCCATCAGGTCCCAGATGATGGCAGGGCCACCGGGGCATGAGGACAGTACTCACCAGTCATCGCCTGTGTCTTGCAGTGAAACCAGAGGTGCCTGTCAACCTGAGCATCCACAACATGAGTGGCAACCAGCTGCAGCTGACCTGGACCTCCCTGTACTCCCAAGCCCATTGCCTGGAGCACTCAGTCAAGTATAAGAGCAACAAGGACACCAGCTGGACAGTGGGAGACCCTATGGTTGTGCCTGGGGACAAGCTGTGCACCCTCCTCCATGGCGGGAGGGAATGGGGAGTGCAGGGATCCTTTACACCGCTGCCTTATGCAGAGAACAAACTTTATTTTTCTTAACTGACAAGTAACACTTGAGTAAACAGAACATTGAACAAGGCTGAAACACTATCTACCATGCCCTGGTAGCAAAGATGAAGAAGAGGGTCAGAAGGGGGGACAGCTTAGTCAAAGGAGTGAGCTGCTGAGGGTGTGGGAAGAGCAGGTCTTGGGGAAGCAGAAGGGAATCCTTCAGGGTTTTGCCCCGAGGGAGCAGCTGGAGGTGGTGAGTGGGGTTGGCTGCTCAGGGAGGCACAATCAGAGGAGTTGTGTAGAGTGAGTGACGGAGGCCGAAGGTGGAAGCGGGTGCCTCAGGTTTGATCAGCGTCACCTGGAAGGGGAAGAGAGAACAAGGCCTCAGGAGGTGAGTGAGTGTGGCACCTGGTTCTCCAGAAGAGCTGCCCTGGGTGAGACACATCCCTCCAGGGTTTTTAGGTGGCTGTGCAAAGGCAAGCTCTTGTGTTTGCCACCAAAGGTGGCGAGATGCCCAGGCCAGCCGGCAGGGCTGGCGCTGGCTGCAGGTCCACAGCCCCTCTGGCTCCCGCTGGGCTTTGCTGGAAGCCCCCTGCCCTCCCAGCTGGTCCCCGGGGCGTGAGCAAGGGCTGCTCTGGGGTGTCCTCCTGAAGAGCCAGTGGGGTGTGAGCGCCCACCATTCTGGAGCCGGGGAAGGGCACAGATGTGTTCCTTGGGCTCCCTCTGCCCGGCTGTGGGCAAGGAGGGGGACCAGCCCACCATCCTGCGGCCTGTCCCTGGGGAGAGCGGCCGGGAGGTCAGGGGAGTCCCGTGGGGAGGGGGCGAGGTGTTGGGGCTGGTGGTGGTGGACAAGGGGGCTGGGGTGCAGATGTTGTGCGGGG